GATAGAGAAAAAACAGTTAAAAAAACAGTAAGAGTAGGGAAATAATATAATATAATATAAACACTATGTACAAGAGAAAAAACAGTAAGAATCCAAACGACAGATAACACAAATAGTAGCAAAAAGAAAGTTGCACATGGGCAATAGATTGCACAGTCAATATGACATGGTATTGCAAATCTGTTCTGTTCTCTTGTCGATTTTTTTCAAAAGTTGCTCACAAACCAAATGTTTCTATATTACAGATTATTGACGCTGACTCTGATACTGAGTGTTCTGGCTCATCTGTAGCTAACAGAAATCTAGTCAAAAGAATGTGAGAAATTTCATTGATTCCAAACTCAGTCAATCACCCTCTCTGACCTTAGTGTCAGCAGATTCCTCTGATTGAAGGTCTTAAAGATTTACCCATTGGACTGTGATTAGCCTTGTATGCAATCAGTTAATCTCTCAAATCTGAAGCTAAATACTGACTAATCGGTGAGGCAGCATGTTCGATTATGGGATTTGAGTTAGATCTGAGAAATTAAACCTTAGTGGCAAAATAAATCTGCCACCAACTGTGGTAACAAACAGCTCAAGATGTATTGGAGGTCAGCTTAAAGTAAGGCAGGCTGGTTTAATTAAATCAGTGCTGATCAAACATCAGCAGACACGATGACATGCTGTTATTTATTTGGTGACTCTGGGCTTTGTGCTTGTGACTTCTGGCTGCTTTCATTGTCATGTAACTCGCCCAACCGGCTGCCAGACGAGGTTAGCCTTAAGTATTCACTTTCCTTTAATCTCTGGTTCTCCACCCACTCCTATCACACATATCTGTCTGTGGCTGCTGGTTGTTCAACTCTCTTCACCACTTTTCTTCAGTTCTTTGAACATGTCATACGTATGATATGTAGCCCCTCAGACCTGCCAAAGGTTTTATTTGGGGGGATCTGCTGAGAGCGGTTATACTGTCTAAGTCCATCTGAAGAGCCAAAACAATAATGAGCTGAAAACTGGCAGAAATCTGCAGTTGATGTTGATGTTGTTGATTCATATGTAGTGTTAGCTACTAGCGACCCTGTCACATGTTAATATCATTCATGATAAAACAAAAAGTGTATAATCAGCCTCAAAATATCACATCTTTATGACTTTATAAGATTAGTCTCAACATTTAAATAATTAATGAACAATTTGTTGCTCCCGGACTCTGGGACAGCCTTCTCCAAAGTCTGTGAGAAACTAATCCAGTGCACATCTTTATGAACTGTTTTCTTCATTAAGTTTTTTTAAATGTTCTATTTATGGTTTGTATACTTGTCTTTTTCCCTGTTTTCTGTTGTCATTCAGTTGTGTGTTTTTAAAGTTGTCAGATTAAAAATTATATTAGTTTGAAAGTGTTTGACAATAAACTACATTTAAATGAAATAAATAAATAAAACTTGAAATAGAACAGCAAATTGAGTGACAATGAACAGATATTGCTATCAAAATATTACAAATAAAGTGTTATTGTTTGTGTTCCTGGCTTTCAGTTTCAGGTATTTTACTCTGAAGGACTGGGGCCGGAAGTTCTGTTGTCACCGGAAAACCCGTCCGGAGGCGGAACTTAAAATGTATCCAAAGAGGAACACATGCCAACCAGCAGTGCAGTCACTCAGTGCGCGCGTCAAACACACTACATACAATAACATTGCATTTTTTTTTTTACATTATTATTATTTTTTAAAACTAGTTCAGCCATGTCCGGAGCGTTGGCAAGGCTGCTTTTCTACCCGACGTTAGCCTACAACGTTGTCTTGGAGAAGGTCACATCTCGACGGTGGTTCGACCGGGTGGACCAGACTGTGATCCTCGGAGCTCTGCCGTTCAGATCCATGACCACACAGGTCCGACTGCCAGACATCATCCTCTCCAGCTCACACTCAACTCTCTCTTGTGCTTTTCTTTCTCGTTTTGAAGCTGAACTAAAGTTTTTATTTGACCCTGCCTGCTCTCTAGTTTAATTTTAATGATATTAGTCATCATTGGAAACAGAGCTGTTACTGTGGAAGACCATTGTTTACCAGTCAGCAGTGTTTCATACAGTTGTTGAAGGTTTTGGCTGCTAGTTTAACTGTGAAAATGAAGTTAATGAAGTTGTTCCATCCTATGCACAACTATATATGTTGCACAACTTTTAACTTTTAACTTTAATGTATGTTTAGTGTATGCATGCTACTGGATACTTGAATTTCCACTCGGATAAATAAAGATCTACTCTATTAATCTTACTCTATCTATCTATCTATGTGCTTTACATAATTATATTAAGTTGTAATTGCTACATTATTTCACATGTCAAGCTTATTATTTTGCATTCTTTTTTAACAGAAAATTAACAGTTGTTATTAATCATATACAGTTTATTATTATTATTATTTACTTTCTATGTATCTTTTTAAAGATTTAAGTTTTCCTGTGTTACTTATAATTCTAAAGTAGCATATGATGATTGTACATCGTATCCATTCAAATTACCTGCTTTGTTAAAACGTTTTGTCTCTTATGAACTAGATTCTTCAGTTTCACTTTTCTTGTGTTGCAGCTGGTAGAAACACAAAATGTTGAGCGTCATCACATAATGAGGATGTATGAGACCAAAATATCTTCTGCAACTATGCCGAGTGATTCCACCTGACTGGTATTTCCCTTCTTTTAACGTTGAAGATTCAGCCATCCGTGCTGTGTGTTGCTGTGTGTCGTAATAAGGATTGATTAAATTTATTCAAATAGTCCTTACATACTATTTGTTAACTCCTCAAGAGACGGATTGTCATTTCGGGTCCTCGTATTTTATGTCGGATGATGTAAAATAAGCTGTAACGTGTCGTGATCTAAACAAACTATTGGGCACCATTCTTTATAATTAGTTAATTATTTTCGTCATTTTAACGCAAAAAAATTGCCAAACTTTGCTAGTTCCAGCTTCTTAAATGCTCGTCGATTTGCTGCTTATGAAAGTAGACAGAATATCTTCTGGGAAAGTATAACAGGCATATTTCACTATATCTTTATAGCTTTAATCGCTCAAATAACCAATCCATTAAAACAGGAGCAGAAGATATGAACCCATAATAAACATAATTCTCCACAAAGTGCCGCTGAGATCTTGAAACCAGACTGTTGAGCACCACAGGCGGATTTCAGACAGCGTCAGCGGGTTGATTTGATGTGTTTGCTGCTGGTTGCAGGAGTGGCAGGCTGCAGGGGTCGAGCAGCTGAGGTTGAGCACCGTTGACCTCGTCGGCGTTCCCAGCCTGGAGAACCTGCACCGAGGCGTAGAGTTCGCCCTGCAGCACCGAGAGCGGGGGACCAGCGTGTACGTCCACTGCAAGGCCGGACGCTCCCGCAGCGCTACACTGGCTGCTGCGTACCTCATTCGGGTCAGTACATCACTGTGGGGAGGTCACACTGACATGTCTGCTGTTTGCACTCCAACCTAGATATCAGTTTTAAGTAGAAGGTAAGCACATAAAGTGAGGGAACAGAAAAATAGAAGTAATTTATAATAACATTGTGCTTTTCTGCTGACAGTTACACTGCTGGACTCCAGAGGAAGCCTGTCAGAAGCTGGCGTCTGTTCGACCACACGTCCTGGTTCGCTCCGCTCAGCTGGAGATGCTGAGGACTTACCACCAGCAGGTGTGTGGACAGTCCAGCTGAGAGAGAGCAGGGCGGCGGCTCAGACCTCATTATGATCCCACAGAAGCTGGAAGACTGGACACAGAATCTTGTGCAAAGCCACAATGACATGACACACAGTTGCACACAGCTGCACAACTTTTTGTTTTCCCCTTATGTTTTTAAATCTTTTCTTTTACTGGGAAATGGTTTTAATTTTACAGCATATCGGTGAGCTCACTGACTGCCTGGTTTCCTCCTTGAGGCCGAAACATTCATTCAGTATTTAATTTAACGAAATGTAAACACTTGGAAACTCTCCGGGCTGACGTCCTGTGTGAATTTCTGTGTGCTTGTTGTGTTTGGACTGCGGTGGCGTCACAAGACGAGATGGACATTTGAGTGTGTAACTCAGCAACGACGCAGTTACTGTGTATAAGCATGTTTTGCTATGGTGCCTCGTAACTTTAAAAATACTTAAGATGTTCAATAAAATATTTGTATGATAAATACAGTCCAATGGTTTTAAAGCTTTGATTTATTTTCAGCATCTAGGTATTACGTGTGTATATATTCATGAAAGCTGCCTTATTAATGTGATGGAACGGCATCAAACATACCAATCTACTGTCAGAGCACTGCTGTTTCACATGATGGGACAGTGTAAGAACGTCCACCACATCCATTTGAACTACTGCTGAAAAACAACAAAGTACATCAACTCAAGAACCCGGTACCTGACATTTATTCCTGAGTATAGCGAGTGTATTCAGGGTACTTCGTATGTGACTTCCTCCACCACTGATTTACGATGATGTGTTATAAGCTATCAACAGTGGACTGTAAAATAATTTATTCAAGGACTATACTAACAATAAGTACAGTTTTCAAGCACTAGCACATAGATTTTATGCTATTTTATACTTCTGCTCCACTACATTTATTTGACAGCCTTAGTTATTTCGGATCTTACAAACAAAAGATGTGATCAGTATTTAAAATAAGATGTTATGTTATAAATTTAATTACCCAAAGGAATATTAAGCATTTAAAGTGAGCTCCACTTTAATCAGCTGTAATACTTATAATAATGATCCCGTAATATAATACAGATATAACACTGACAAGGGCCCACGTACGTTTCATTCTACATTTTGCTGCTAATAGATTTTTTTTAATGTTTATTTTATTTTGGATGCAAAACTTTCACTTTGAATTGAGTATTTCTATAGTGTGATAACTTTTACTTATTATTTGAATACTTCTTCCATCACTTTATGCTATAATAACCATTACATGTCACATATGAAGGCACATTTCCTTGCAGTAATTCTGATCTTGTCGGTATTTATGTCAGTATGTTCAGAATTATGTGAGTCTTTGGGGGGGATGTGAACTAACTGAAGGGTTTTTTTTGTAATTCAAAGGAAAAATAATTATATTTATTTATACTTTTAACTTAAATTTAAACAGTTACACTGAGTTTACAAACACTACATAGAGGAGGCTTCTCCTCCGGTCCAGCAGGAGGCGACACCCCGCGAACAGTCAGTCTCTGACCGGAGAAGAACGACTACGGAGCGAACATGGCGGCGTCGTTGGTGCGGTTTGTCCGCGGAGGTCTCGGTCGGAGTTTTAACAGTAAGTTCACTTTAAACTCGTTTTTATTTCGCATACCAGGTTGATGTAGTGGCTGATTTAACTGTGTGTGCATTTGCTCGCTAAAGGAAGATACACAGCCTCTCTTGCAACCGTTAAATGTCTCCGGTTTGACCTTCGGGCTCGGTTGAATAACAGACACACGAACAGCTCCTGTTGTTTCTTGTTGTCTTTCTGTGGCAGTGAGTCTGTTCGTGCAGCACACACACTCTCACTGCCGCTGTGTTCTGGGTCCATGTGGGACCAGTGCTCTTTGTTTTAGACCCGCTGCTCACATGATGTCAGTTTCTCTGCAGGTGTAGGTGTCGGTGGTGTGTTCAGGCTCCTTTTTGACAACTTGTGTGTGTTTTTTTCTTTTTCCAGTTGCAAGGGCATCGTGTCTCCTCCAGCAGCAGACCAGGCTGCAGAGCACCACCGAGAACCCCCGTGAGTACACACTGCTGATGCCCACTGATCTCTCTCTTTGCACCAGTGCTGCATGGGGCCCCAACAACTCAAGACTTAATGTATATTCAAGTGCTTTATTCTAGTTTATTGAAAACAATCTGAGTATGGACCATTAAAGCAGTGTCAGTAGACATTATAAGGTCCTTTAGATGGACCTTGTGTGTCCCTGGTCCCCCTATAGCAGGTGAATCTGACTATCATTACATTCATGTCACAGAGCTAAAGGTCTGTTTGACTGAAAGATAAATCCCTGATGATTTTTTAAACCATGGAAGGTAATTTAACTGCACTCACAGTATTTTTAAGGTATTTCCAGATTCTTCTGAGTGTGACTCGAACCAAAAGTGAAATAAATGCATTATCCGTGTGTTGTTTTTCAGTATTTTCTGTTATCATATGCAGGTTGGCAATGAGACATGCCAACTGATTTTGTTTGGATTAGGAAATTAAGTAACGATTTGGGAAACAGATTCAGATTAAAAACATTGGTGATTGTGAAGGATTTATTCTTCAGAGTAAGGGATGTTTAACTCTGTGGCTCAAACATAATAATGCATTAGAGGCATAAACTGAATCTAAACAGACAGAACCCACCGCTGATGTAAACACTGATTGATTTCCACATCACATATTCACTTGAAATCCAGAAATGTCACACAGACTCAAGCACGATAAACAATATGATTACTCCGACCTATTTTACAATGTTAATGATGAAAAATGAAACATGTCTGTCGCGCAGAGCGATCGCGCTGTTGTCGAGTCGTTATGAACCTCTTGTCTCCTCTGTGTCCTTCACGCAGCCACCGTCAGGCCCAAGGATGCCGTCACTCACAAGCAGCTGGCGGCGTTTGGGGAGTACGTGTCTGAGATGATGCCCAAATATATCCAGCAGGTCCAGGTCAGTTCATATGCTCATTCTCCCCTTATGGTACTCGGAACAGTTAACATGGTTATATATAGATTTTGGAAGCCTGCAGATGACTTGAAAGCGTGTGTTTGTGTGTGTTTGCGTAGGTGACCTGTTACAATGAACTGGAGGTAATGATCCATCCTGATGGAGTGATCCCCGTGCTCACCTTCCTGAGGGACCACACCAACGCCCAGTTCAGGAACATGATTGACCTGACTGCTGTCGACATCCCAACACGACAGAACCGCTTTGAGGTAGCCGTCACGCACGCACGCACACACACACACACACACGCACACGCACACACAGAAACAGAAACAGTACAAAATGATCACCCTAAGCACCAAATGTGGGCCAGTTTTGAGTTTGCTGGAAAAATAAATTGGGGAATAATACTTCTGAACAATGCAGGGCCACATAGCTAAAACTAGGTTAAAACAATCAATTGTTTGGCCCAAAGCCTATTTCCAGTCCAGACGTCCCCCCACGTGTGTCGGGAGGTCTATGATCGGGCGGATATTGTGTAGTCTGAACTCGGCATGAGACCTTTTGCCTTTCAACACCTTCCATCTCGTGCCACATTTTTACCTGTGGAATAAAGCCAATCATGTGAGCACATGAGCTGGTATTTGTAGAAAATATCTTGGATGTTGTACAGTAGAAACGTTAAAACATTAACCTTTTTAATTAAAGTTGTGTTGAGGTGTGCTTTTGGAGATTTATTAGCAATTTGTTTTTGCATTTCCGTTACAAACCTCCCCACAGTCGCTATATCTAAAGTAAATACCAGTTTAACCATGATCACCTGTCTAATGCTGCAGCAGTGCTGTTAGTCGTAAGCTTTAATTCCGTTAAATTAAAGCTACGTTGTTGTTATGTAGGTTGTACAGACAGCAGCTCTTCAGCAGGGAAGCATTATTTGTATTTATTCAACACACATACTCATTCTCACTAAAACAGGATGGAAATATTTGCGTACCGAGGCCGTCCTGGTAATACAGGATGCATATCCTCTAAACGAGCTGTCTGCGTGTATTTATGGTGACAGTGTGTGTGTGCTTGTTTACAGATTGTGTACAACCTGCTGTCGCTGCGTTACAACTCTCGTATCCGCGTTAAGACGTACACAGATGAGTTAACACCAGTGGACTCTGCAGTCCCGGTTCACAAGGCTGCCAACTGGTACGAGAGGGAGGTGAGTCCCAGCCTGCAGGCCCGATCTGTGGTTTCATTACAGTGTTTAATTCCACTGTCGCTCGTTCTTCACAGGAACGGTAAAGAGAGTCAAAGTGTGTGTGTTTCTACAGGTATGGGACATGTATGGCGTGTTCTTTGCCAACCACCCAGACCTGAGGCGTATTCTGACAGACTACGGCTTCGAGGGCCACCCTTTCAGGAAGGACTTCCCTCTCTCAGGATACGTTGAGGTGAGTCCTGCCAGCAACGCCACAGCCGCCAGCTTTATTCGGCTCAATCAAAGTGTGATTAATTTTCATCCTCCAAATAGAAACGCTGTAGTATTGGCAGGGTGTCAGTAAGACAGACAGGATGAAAGCTGTGCCCAGGCGCTTCAGATCTCAAACTCTGCTGGATCGTGCGATTTTATTTATTCATTTATTTATTTATTTATTTATTGAGCTGATGATGATAAATTCAACGTTCCCACAAGCCTCAAACATCCTTGATAGTTTTATGGGAGAAAGAATAATTCATGGCCTAAATACTCTCTGAAACTGAATTGATTTCTTTGAAAGAATGAATGATTAGTTTCCACACGGTGCTCAAATTCATCTTTTTTACTTCTCGGTCCAAGGGCGAACACTTCACGCTCCGGGGGAATCTGTTTTATAAATTCATCATTTGATCAGGACGTCATGTAAAGAAAGGCTTCTCCTATAGCTTAGTTTGTATTTTTTCCAGCTTTTAATCCTTGAACTGTCTCAACCCTAACCATGGAAACACTGGAATTACTTTAAATAAAACAAAAACATGTCCTGCAGGTGCGTTACGATGATGAGGTGAAGCGGGTGGTGGCGGAGCCTGTTGAGCTGTCGCAGGAGTTCAGGAAGTTTGACCTGAACACGCCCTGGGAGGTGTTCCCCGCCTACCGAGATCCCAAAGAGGAAGCACCCAAACTGGAGGCCGGTGAAGCCCCTGAGAAGAAATGATGTCCCTCTGTTTCATCACCATTTTCTGTCTGTTAGTGTCAGTTTGGGATTCCCAGCCCCCTGAACAAACCCACCTGAAATATTTATGTAAATAAAGATGCTAATAAAACAATCCTCAATAGATCTTTTGTGTTGCTGTGGTTTTTGCATGTTTTATGCGTGTGGACACTCAAACATTACACCCATATGTAATTTTAACATCTCAGAGAGCATTATTCTGAAATACTGTGTGCTGTGACAGGGTTTGCTGTACTTGGAGCTCTGCGTATAAGGCAACCAGAACAAAACATGAAAAACAGACCCATGGCAGGTCTGTCCATTTACTTTTGGCCATATATTGCACTTGATGAAACATTTGATCCTTTGCTAATTACAGTATTTTAATTTACGGCACTGTATTGCTGCCATACCAGAAAAAGTAAAACAGACCTGTATCAGATATTCATGATATTACCTTATGACAAGAAACCTTTCTTGTTATTATATCTTGTAACTTGTAACATTGATTTACCTTATTTCAATTATTTTGTTATAATGTGTCCTTATAAATGATCACTTTATAACATTAAATGTTTAACATTCAAATAGGGTATTGTTCTAACAGGAAAGGTTTGTTATAATGTGAAAATATCTTGTTCTAACATGTTTTAACATGATCTGTTTTTTTTCCTCAGTATGAATATGATAATATGGCACATGAATTGACAGTTTTCACTACAATAATTAAGTAGAATCATTAAAGCCTGAGAAAATGTTTCAGGACCTTTAACCTAATTTTGTTGTTTACATCTTAATTGTGATAACCACAAGTTGTTTTGCGGCATGCAGAGCTGCCGTACTGTAATTCCCCAGCAGGTGGCACTGCAGCACAGAATATCCTCTCTGAATGCTGTTGCTTTTATCTGTCAGTTCATGAGTTCACACCGGGGGATGCAATACGCTCAGGCTGTGCATTTCTTGTTTTTTATTTTGTCAAACATTTTCATTGAAGCATTCATTTTACATGTAAGAAATACTCAAAACATATTAAAGAGTCAACATGAGCCAGACTACTAAAAACACAGACAGGTCAAAATGTTTTTTATTATTCTCCTTTAGGTTATTTTTCCATCATGGTTGATTTTGTGCTTTTGAGACACAAATTGCTAATTCTGGCAGTGTGGCCAACTGATCCGAGCAATAACCAGAAAGTACTTTCAACCACATTGTGACCCGTATCTGCTTGACACAGTTTCTAATACACAATGATCAATCTTTCATTAGAATCACCAGAAAGAAAGAAGCACAGACCAGAAACATCCAACATATTGTCAGTTACTGTACAGATAATTCACTTAATAAAAATACACGGTTAACAGGCGTCGACTGGGCCTGTGAAGCTGTCCAGCCATCATGAGAAAGTATCTTTTTAATTCATTGTTTTTTCAGTTATATGCATGCATCACACAAGTGCTTCTGAGTGTGTCAGATGAGTTATGCTCAAGTCACTTCACACACCAGTTCTGTGCAGGATTTTTCTCTCTCTATTTCTTAGCAGGAATTGCCTTCACAGACTGATTTACTGAACTGGGTCAGGTCTGTTTTAAAGTAAAACTGAAGCAATCATAGGTCCACCCCTGTGCGTCGCTCGCTCACTGAGGCTGCAATAGAGAAACCACCGAGGGTTAGACTGTGACAGAATACCTTATTATCTCAAATGAGGCACACTCTCAGTCTAATTTCATACTGTGAGAAAAAAAATTTGCATCTCATTGTCCAAACTGTTGTCACTTTCTTAGAAGTCGCTGCAGCCGTACAGAACAGGAAATGATCGATTAGTAACACTGGTGCAGAGAGACCTGTTGAAAGTGTGAAGACTAAGACCCGCTGTCTGTTATTAGTTTTCAGAGAAGGTGTGAGACCATTTCCCCGGTGCCAAGGAGATCACTGTGAGGTGAACGCTTAATGAGATGGAAGAAAATCACCTCAATCTGACTGCACAGAGTGTTACCATTTTCATGTTTATCTCGGTAATGTTTTATTTGGCCTTGATATTTTGTAATAATAAAAATAGAATGTATTCGAGTGTTGTGCTTTGTTGTCTGGATGCAGTCCTTTCAGGGATTTCTTTACAGACAAAAGCACAGCATCCATCTCCACTAGCTTTTTGTGATATTTCATTTGAAAGGAGACTTTTTTATCATGCATGTAGGTTTGTGGACCAGCTGAGTGGTTTCCAAAGTGGTCCAGGATCTGTAAGTGGTTTCCAACCTGTTTCGAGAGATGTTTTGCCTCTCAGATTCTTTCTCATTTAGAGGTTCAGAAAAAATAAACATAATTGGGTTGAACATATTGTCCCATCTTCTTGTTAATCATCTTGTGACCCCTCATATTTATCTTGGAACCCGTGAGGGGGTTCTGACCTCAAAGTTGGGAACCAATGCTCTGAACAATGCCTACTTGTGACCTCTTACAATAGGTTTAATACTGTATGCTTTACTTTGATAGTTCTGAAAGGTCTGAAATGGTGAACGTGTTCAGTATTTCATTTGAGAAAAGAACATAAACATTCAGAAAACAATCACCTTTTTTTTCTTTTCCTGACCTGCTCCACTATTTTCAGGAACTAGTCGCTGTGTCTGTCATTTGGTAATGGGTAGGTTGCGTATAGTGGGTTTAACAGAGATTTCTTTGCTTTAGTTTTTTTTTTGACTGGAAACAACTCTGATGAGAGCAGTGAACTAAAACAGTAAAATTCCCAGCTGTAAAACTAAAACATTGAGCTAAAAGATGCTACAAGTCAGGTGAAGATTCTCTAAAGGTTTGTCTCTAAAAGCAACCCTTTTATTTTCATATTACGTATAGTCACTTGGTCCGCTGTTGCACAAAAATATTGATTGGTGTAACTTTAAATGTATTTTTTCAATGCTTTTTCAGTAGCAAACACACAACTGGTTCTTACTTCTATTGTACTGTAGTGGCAGCAGCAATTGGGTGAACCATCCCTTTAAAATTGTAGTCCATTTATAATTTGAATTTATATAGAGTTGTTTTGTTCTGGAGCAGTTTGACTTTGAATTGGCCTGCTTGCAGTACCCTGGTGTAGATTGTAGTCTATATCAGAACACCTCTTCTCTGAAATTCACATCCAGTTAACTCTAATAAAAAAATTTATATGTTCAATCACAGTGAAGCATCACTTCACTCTCCAACAGAGAAGGTGATTTCATAAATTCAAGGTTCATCACAATTTGAACAGCATCATCTTTCTCCCGGCGGTGTGAAATTAAACAGACATGCATATTACAGTGGCCTGGGAGAAGCAATTCAATTTTCCCCACAGTGGTCGCCATCTGAAGAAATGAATTAAACGCTGCTAGAATTAGAAATCAAATTATGGTCCAGATCCCCGCAGGCCCACAGCGGCATGTGGTCAACAGTCGGTACGGGATGGATATGCAGTCTCCACTTTTCCAAAACTAAGTCAGTTTTGTCCTGTCGTCCTCTGCTCCCGCTGTGGCCGAGTATCAGGGCGAGAAACACTCCACTCCTTTTGACACAAAACACACTGTTCATATTGATTTCACATGCCTCTAAAGACATAAAGAAAGTAAAGTGACTTTTTTACATACAAGCAGAAACACCAAGTCTTTGACAAGGATAACAAATGCACTTACAGAAATATTTCACTTCAACTTCACATTACGTGCTCACCTTCATGTCAGTCAAAACTATATGTAGGAATACTACAGCAGTGAGCTTGATTTAGAGAGAAAAAGAGCATAAAATACGACCTTGTGAGGCAGCTGGACATCACAAAATCATCACAAAATGAACAAGAATGCTACGGCACGAGCTAAGGGAGTGCTTTAACGCTAGGTGTGTGTGTAATGTTGCGTGTGAGAACTGACTGTTTCCTCAAAAACAACAATAGGCTAGTGGCTGCTAAAGAGGTTAGCACTAAAGGCTTTTCTCTATGGACAAGATGTTTTCGCTCTTCTCCCAACTGGCTTTGGTTCAAATGCGTTATACTGTTTATTGATCTGATTGGTTGAAGTTCACAGATGGTTCATCCAATCACCTGTAGTATTTTTTGAAAGTGCGAACTCTTTTCCGAACAGTTTCCGAAGCCAGATTGCATAAAACATGCATCAGCTTTTTTAAATCACTGCTTTCTTTGAGGCTGATAATCAGACGGAATTGCACCAGAGGATGTGCAATCATTTGAATATAAAATTCAATCATGGTGTACTAACAGTTGACAGCTGAAAAAAGGAATCTAACTCCTTGTGTGTGTTTTGGTGGCTGCACTAACTTAAATGAGAGTTTGGCTGACACAAAGGTGAGCAGGTAATGACTGGATTTTCATTACAGAGTGAAATATTCAATTAGAGTTCACATTACTGTCATTCAAGGTTCCACATTTGAGTGCCATGAAGCCATTAGCTGGAAATTGAAGAGATTTTCATTTAAGCTCTGCACTCAGTCCAAGGTCCCTGTGACTTTGCGAAGGAATTCATATGAAGAGGAAGCTTCAAAGACAACCACGAAGCAACATTTGTGTATTACAAGTATTCTCCACACAACTCAGAAACTGCCCAACACCTTTTGTGGACTCTTGAGACTTTTCCACTTTGCACGAATTCCTCCCACAGTGTTCAGTCCGTAGCCCGTGCTGCAGCTAGGGTTTCTTGTCTGCATATGATTGGCTAGTGGTGGTAGTGGTGGTGGCAGTGGGGAAGTCTGGATAAACCAGGAAGCCAGTGAAGGTGATGTATTTGGCGTGGTTGCTGTAGGCCCCAAAGCCATCTCTCTGGTGGGAGTAGAGCCAGACTGTGTCTCCTGGTTTCAGCGCCAGCATCAAGCTCTGACTCTGTAGAGCTTTCTCACCCTGGCTGTCGTCGTAGATCATCGCCTGCACCTCCAGACGGTTCTTCATCAGCTTGACGGACAGCGTCTTCTGCGGCAGCTTGCCCACGTTGAAGGAGAAGTAGTAGGCCCCGGGAACGCGGCAAGTGAACATCCCCTCCGTCACGTTAAAGTCTTCACCGATGTTGACGAATGCTGTGTCGAAGCTGACTGGCTGGTGGTGTGGCATGCCCACTTGGTCTACTCCCACGATGCTCTGGGTGCGCCCCACTGAGAAGGCAGATCTTTGGTCATTTTCGTCATCGTCATCCTCTTCCTCTTCCTCCCTATGTTGCAACTCCTTCTCCTCCACTGAATCTCCTTTTCCAGATCTGACGTGCTCTGTGGCCTGGTTACTGTCTAACAGGGGGGTGTTGTCTTGCTGGGGCTGCTGGGAGGCGAAGTCAGGATGGTGTTGATGGTGGTGTGTCTGGTAGCCGTAGGTGTCGGGGTAGACAAGGTAACCGTTGAAGGTGGTGTAGTGTCCGGTGTTGCTGTAGAGCGCATAGCGCGGGTCACCATGGAGACGAAGCCAGACGGTGTCGCCGAACTCCAGTTGCAGCATGACACTCTGGCTCTGTACCTGAGGATTGAAGCAGACTTTATTATCCCAGCTACCGAGTCACATCCAGGTCTATTTTACATCAAGGCATCGACACCAAACATAATCCGATCATCTACCTCACGCAGCTCCTCGTTCAGGGGAATTTGGTGTGTAATCCCCTCTGTTCTGCTTTCATTCACAACAACACAAACACACCCTCTGTGATGAGAGCCATATTGTACTGTAAGACAGTTGGACAGCTTTGACACGGTAAAAGACCTTTGTAAACATTTCCTTAGAGGGAAAAACCCACCCTGAAACAGAATTCAGCCATTATCTGAAACAGAGGCTGAATTGATAGAGAGACCTGTCAAAATACATTTAGAGAAATATGCTTATTCGCTTTCTCGTCAGGAGTTAGATGAGAAGCTCAATACCACTGTCAGTGCATTAACTATGGAGCTGGAGCCAGGCAGAAGTTAGCTTAGCTCAGTGCAAAGACTGGAAGCAGGGAGAAATAGATAGTCTTGACTGTCCAAAATTCAGAATTATACCCACCAGCATCTCTAAAGATAAAGAAAGGTAAACAATTAAAAAAAATTCCTGGGTACTTGTTAGAGTTGACAATAATAATAATAAAAATATAGAAATCACCGCCAAACTAATAACTTATTTACCTACAAATGCTCTGATTGTCTTTGTTGGAGCTTCAACTAGGAGACAGCCATTCACACCCAAACTCATTGAATTGTTCACAAAATTAGATATGAGTGGCGATGGTCTGAAACTTACCTTCCTTTCCTCTCCAGCATTTTCCTCATACACAATGGCCTGCACCTCGTTCCTGTTCTTCATCAGCATCACAGACAGGTCTTTGTGTGGAAACTTGCCCACTGTGAAGGAGAAGTAGTAGGCCCCGGGGATACGACAGCGCAGCAAGCCAGCCTTGGGGTCAAAATCCCCTCCGATGTTGACATAAACAGTGTCAAAGGTCACAGTCATCTTGGGCCCGCCTTCCATGCTGTTGGTGCGTGCAACAGAGAAAGCTGAGCGTAGCTCCACGTCATCCAGCAGACGGGCAAAACCCCATGCACTGCCAACATGGCACAGGCACAGCAGGCCAATAAGCAGGCTTGCTGGGAGCATCATTGTATCTGCAGAAACATAAAAAATATAGACATTTTTTATCACTTTTAGCCGCTTGAAAATAAACCCACAGATCTTTAAATACTGCAAGATTTTGTTGCAGAGCCAGATTTGAGAAGATAGCTCAGTTCACCTGGCAAAGGAAACTAATGAGCAATAATGAAGCTGGGAAACCAGCGTGTATTGCTTCCTATTCTGCTGTTGTGGTCAGTTTTAACTCATCTCTCTTTTGGCTCTTCTCATGATGCTCCTACAGGGAATCTAATAAATGTCACTGTTTAATTCAACAACATCAATACCAAGATCTAATGGATGCCTGAGGACTGTGTTTGTTCATTTGGTTGCCCACTGATTGTAACTTTTGTAATAATATCTATAATAATACATATTTTCATTCATTTCCACAATATAGAATCTCTGTCTCATCACATAATTTCATACTTCACTGCTCATCTCTGGTCAGATCGGAGAATCTGTAGTCAAACCACAGCAGCTGTTTTATGCAGTTTTTGCTTTTGATTGTTGGTTTCCTAACAGGAGACTAAACCTTGCTTTGGTGTGGATCATTTGAATGATCTGGCCTGAGTTTCTGTATCAATACCATTTTGACATTTTTGCCTTTATTTAACAGTTTGTCGGTAGAGACAGAGAGGAAGGAGTAAGGGGAATGACATGCAACAATGCATGAAACTTGAAAAAATGTGATTTAAATCAGGAATGATCTGATCAAAGAATATGTGAATAAAATTACAAATCTAATATCAAATTCAATACCAGTGGTTTGATACACAGCCGAGAAAAATGGCACATTTGAGAGAAATGTGGGCATCAGAGAAAAGTTCATCTGTTAGGTGAAAACACAAGTTTGAAGCATTTATGAGCACAAGTTTAAAGGTAAAACACTAAAACCTCACACGTGGACAGACAATACTCACATAATGGAGCAAGCATACATTTGCACATCACACAGACACAAAAACAATGTGCCCTAAAACAAAACACACACACACATACAATCCCTGCACTGTGTTTGAGTCATTCGGGCAGATCGCTCACAGTAGAGGAGGTATTAATGTGTCTTTTATTAGCAGAGACAGGCGCTCTCATTGTCTCATTGTCCTCCACTAATGAACCAGCAGGAAGCAGACACACTCAGGTGGAGCTGTCAGCACTACCAAAGCCCCCTTAAAAAAAAAGACACAGTGAATCATGTACAGAGCTACCAGAGCCCAGAGGAGCTGCCCCCATGGTCAGTGCAATTTATCAACACATAACGATAATACAACTGAACTGAAATATATGACAGTATTTAGAGGACGAACTGAAGAAGAATGTAGTGTAAAGCAACTGGATGTGCTCTTTTAGTCTTAAAGATGTTTCCCCCCCTCATCCAGGAGACTTCAGCACTTTTATTGACTACAGTAGGAAGTCCAGGTATTTACTGTAAACCTCTTTGGGTGCTTTCCACTCAGCTTATTACGCTTCCTCAAGTCTTCACTCGTCTGCCATCTAGCCTGTGATTCAGAAACTAACTGAGTGAGGTCTACCGTCATCCAGGATATTTCAATCACTCAAATGTGTCTTAGAGGAGAGAGGAGGCTTTCAAAGGATCTTAGAATGATAAACCACAGATATGTCCAATGCAGACGAGACTGAAGACTGTGAGGACAGCAATTACAGCCCAAACTCTCACATTATTCATATTTTTTCATAAAGTAAAAATTATTATATGTGTGTCTAATTTGAATGATGAATAAATCATATACTTTTCGTTATTACCCAAAAGGCTTTCCTTTTCTTTTCTTCTTTTCTCTTCCAAGTTCAGTTTTGCTCGTTCCTGGTCAAGTGAGGTCCAAATATGTATCGTCCATAGCCACACAGTCACTCGTTCAATAATAAAGGCTATGGCATATAAGGACAGTACACTGTACCTGTAGCAGTTTACAAGCCAATTATAAGTCTGTAATTGTCCAGGAATGTTTCCAAAAAAAAACAAAAAACAGTTATGGACAGGGAAAAATCACTTGTTTACAATAAAGCAGCGGTAATTGTTGGTAGAAGTGAGCTGCAGTCTCTGGAATTTAGCCCCCCCAAACTAACATCCAGTGAATGCAGCATGAATGCAGCATGTCCTTCATTCATTTTCTATGAGACTCAAGTGATTTAGGATAGCAGGCGATGCATTGACTGGCACTGAAATATTTTAACTTAAAGCAAAACCAATCAACAAAACTTCTGAAACCTTCTGAAGACAAATGAAATGTCCTCAGAACTAAAATAAATATTTTTCTTTTCTTAGACATTATGTTAAAGAACCAGTGTGTAGCATTTAGTTGTATCTAGTGGCCAAATTGCAGATTGCAACAAACTGAAACTCGATATATATACAATATCAAGTGTGTAGGGGAAACTACTGTGGATGCAAAACTTGCAAAACATGAGACAGGCCATCCTGGGCTACTGTAGAAACCGTTCAACATGGCGGACTCTGTGGAAGAGGATGATACACTAATGAAAACCTATAAATATTATCTTCCATTTATGCCAATAGAGCCTCCTAACTGTTACACAGTGGACCTTTGAGATTCATGATCCTATACATTTTTATCATTTAGGTTGTGTTATCAGTTCGGGAACATTTCTGGAAATTACGTCTTCATGTTGGACAATTTTTGGCAACAGGAATCATGCATGTGTGTCAGACCGGGCTATCTTGTGAGGAGTGATCTTGTTATTTACTGTTACTGGTGTGAATCACTGCTTATCATGCCATGTTTGCCTCTGGCAGCCTCCTCTTCACCCCTGAATGAGTACATCAACACTGAATGATGAAACATCTCAGTCAGTGTGATGATATTAGCTGTGTTGTCTAATGTGCTGCATATTTTTCTGTTTTGAATCAATTTTCACTGTCGCAATGCATCACTGCTAAGGCCTTGAAGTTATTTACTGTTAAAACTAAATTTTCTTCTTCTTGTATGTTTATACTAAATCGACCTCTTTAAATGGAAACTAATTATAGCGGTTAATTGTACTTAAGGCACTGAGGCACAACTGATCGTTTTTGTCTGATTACTTGTCCCACTGCAGCAGAGGGAGAAATCCATTCTGCAAAAGCAAAAGGTGCTGCTGTACCATCTCGCTGCATATATTATATGAATCTCAACACATGCTTTTTTTCTTACCGTTGCCTAAAGTAATAAAAAAAAACACAAAATTTACAATGCAGCAGTTAGGCTTGTTCGTATAATGGCAGCTTGCACTAAGAAATAGTGTTTGTTTGTCTGTGTAATGGCAGCAGTTTTAACTAGTCATGTCGACAGACTGTACTCCTTAGAGAGTGGGATGCTTCAGGTTCAAACAGCAATGAAAGAATAGATCAAACAAACCTCTTCCATAATGAGCACCCATGGGATTTAAGCACAGAGAGGAGTAACAGAACAGAGCTGTATAGAAAAGACTAAAGCAGAATTAGTCCATACAAATATAAAAAGAACTCTGTTGTGCACTTTTTAAAATTCGACTTCCACACTTTCTTTTGTCTTCTTTCAATGCACTGGGAGTGAATGAGTATGAGAGCTGTTTCTCTCCTTTTTTAGATTGACCAGGCAATAGCCTATTTGATTTGATTTTAGAACGACTTGCATATGTTTACATGGTATACATACGTTTTGTGTGTGATTGGGTTAGAGTAATCTCATTAACAGCATTAGGATTAAGTATTGAATTACATTGCTGGAATAATTGAAAGGAATAGTCATTTTCATTATAGCCTACAATTGAGTTTAGCGTGTGCTGGTGTGGTGTGTCTAGTACTTGAAAATTCTTCAGCTACAGTCCAAGCATACTGACATGAGCTTCAGTAACTGGACACCATAATGAGATCTTTTACTTTTGCACTGTTTCTTAGGTAAAATTTTAAATGCAGGTCCTTTACTTGTATGGTAGTATTTCTACACTGTAGACCTGAGTACTTCTTCCACCACTGTGACAATTAAACTATGGACCTTGCTCTCATTATCAAATTGATTGCTACAAAATATTATTTACAAATATTTCTCTTTTGTATGAATAGCTCTGTCATTGTGTTTTTGGATGATAAATATTCTGTGTTGTGTTTCCTCTAATATCCAAAGTGAATTCAAGTATTTAGTGAACACTCTTACATTCATGTGAGTCTCTCAGTGCAGCTGCACTCTTTCCTCTGAACAGCTTCACTGGATCCTGCAAGTTAATTACCTGTACGAAAGCTGTTGATGACACTTGTTTCAAGAGGAGAGTATATTATAAATTTGTTTTTTCCCTCCAATGGTGCTACTCCCTGCTTGTTTGTGTGTGAACCAGTAACCTTACAGCAAATTATAGCTTATGCACACTTAATGTGACCAGCAGCAGTTAATTATGATGGCCAAATGCCAACATAGAGATTGAAGGAAATCGTCAGTTCATTTACGATACATAATAAGAGAGGAAGCAGATTATGCTAATGAATTTGTCTAATGCTGTGAATGATATTATTCTCCAAACATCCATCCATCCATCATCCAGTTTCTTACTGCTTATCTGGGTCAGAGCTATAGTTCCCACAAGATGAGCCTCCCAGCCCAGACTACTTTGCCTAGCAGCTTCCTCCAGGTGCTCCTGGGGATTCCCAGAGGCTCGAGCAGACTTAGAAATCTCTTCCCCCCCAGTGAGTCCTGGATCTGCTCCGGGGTCTGTCCCCAGTTGGTCCTACTATTTAAACCTTTAGACAATGGGAATCCGTGTCCTTTCTGCTGCCTCAGGATGGTGACATTATGGGTTTACTTTGATCTGCTGGAGTAATTAAATCCCTTTGTCATCCTCGTTCCACTTCTATATGTGTTTTTTCCTCATACTGTTTTCCGTAGTAACAGTTTCAGAGTAATTCTACTTCTTTTTTTAAATTGGGCAGAGCCATACTAACAAAATTAACATTAGAAGATCAAGCTTTGTCTGCACACACCTCACAGACCTCAAAAGAGCTTTA